TTTTAGAGAGAGGGAAAGAGAAAAAGAAACATCAACATGAGAGCGAAATATCAATTGGCTGCCTCCTGCATGCCACCTGGGCATGTTCTCTGACTGGGAATTGAACCTTTCAGTGCCACGGGATGTTGCCCAACCAACTGAGCCACGCCTTGGCTGGAGCACCTTTCTTATCTTTTTTACTCAACAACAGACCTCTGAGTTTTCCTCAGTCTTTCTACCTAGCATTCCAGGGTTATTTAACCAGCCCCCTTTTTCTGGGCAGGTGTTTCTGATCCTTCACTATATATATTGGTTTAAAATTTAGTTTGCAGGTGGCCAATCTTGTTTCCCTCATTTCCAGCTTCCTGAGGGACAACCTGCTGCAGCCTTGGGACATACCAAACTCGCTCTCCCCTGCCTAAAAATTAAAAGCCCATGCTCCCTCTTTTTTTAATTTTCACTCGAGGACATTTTTCCATTTTTTGTTCAGATGGAGTGGGGGGGGGGGGGAGAAAGAGAAAGAGAGAGTGAGAGAGAGAGAGAGAGAGAGAGAAACATCGATGTAAAGGGACACATCAATTGGTTGCCACCCACACGACCCAATCAGGGCCTTGGGCTGGGGACAAACTGCAACCGAGGTATGTGCCCTTAGCGGGAACTGAACCTGACTCTCTCTGGACCGCAGATAGATGCTCTAACCGCTGAGCCAAACTGGCCAGGGCCCCAAACTCCCTCTTGCTGCTGCCCTAGTTAGCTTCTTTTCATGATAATAACTCATTCTTTTTTCCCAAATTAGTCTTTCTTTTCAGGTTATAAAAATGGAAACTATTCATTGGGACACACTCAAATGATAGATAAAAAGTACAAAGAGAGTAAAAATCACTAGCTATCCTGCCCCTTGGATGTTACCGTGCTGGCCAGTGTTCTTTCAGGCACACACAGCCATAGGTAACCTTATGTAAGTGGCATCATTACACATGAGTGGGTTTATCCTCTGCTGCCCCCTTCACCCCTACCCCACAACGTGTGGAACACAAAGATTGTTTTTGAAAGACCTGTCTACTCCTATACTACATTCCTGACCTTCCTGACCACAGGTATATCTGTTCCAGCTCCTACCTGTCAGTGGAAACACTCTGTGGTCACTAATGGCTTCTAGAGTAAGTCAGAAGTTGGAAACCTTTCTTGAAGTCAGCTGGCAGACTGAAAGATGCAAGAGCCCAGAAGTGGGAGGCAGGAGCCCCTATCCCAGAGATAGGCTGCCCTTCCAGAAGACCAGCCTGTTGGGCCTCTCAGGAATATCTGTCACTGAGCACTGCCTTCATGGGTTCTCTGCCATCATGCTCACCCAGTGTCCCCCAGTCCAGTCTCCTCCCCAGACACTTCTACCTCTTATCTGTTCTTTAAAGGCCAGTATTCCTCAGCCCTGGACTCACTTTTTCTCATCATCTGTGGTCTTTCCAAGTGATCTCCATGTCGTTGCTAGTGACTCCAAAATCCCTATCTCTACCCCAGATCTTTCCAGAGCCTCATACTTTGTAGTTCTTTTCCTCTCCCCCTACTTGCAATCAGTTTGTTGACTGCCTCCTTTTCTATGATTCTCTCCTTCATGCAACCCAGTTTTCCCAGGAGTGTCCTCCCTGCCTCTGTGGAGCTTCTCTACCCTGGCCTCTCTCCTGGTTCCCACTTTATCTCCAACCTTGGGAGGTCTAGCAAGCTTCCCCCGAGCTTCACCTCCTCCACCTTCTCAACCTCCTCCTCTCTCCAGAGCCCTGCTTCCAGATCCTTTCCAGTCTACGTTCCCACAATTATTCTGTTGGATCTCTAGGGATGTATGTAGTAGGGATTTTGATTACTAACTACCACTTCAGCATTTCATTAAGGGAAAGGGAAGCATTTAAGAAAGTATCTTTTGAATGTTAAAAGACTTTACTAATACTTTAGACTATGTCATCTATGCCCTTCTCCCAGTGGGGCCAGTCATATGGGGATGCTCAAATCTGGAGTTAGACACTACCTCAATTTAAAGACAAGCTCTAGCCAATTTGGCTCAGTGGTTAGAGTGTCGGCCTGCGGTCCATAGAGACCTGGGTTCAGTTCCCACTAAGGGCATGTACCTTGGTTGCAGTTTGTTCCCGGCCCTGGTTGGGTCATGTGGGTGGCAGCCACTCGATGTGTACTTTTGCGTCAATGTTTCTCTCTACCCCCCCTCCCTCCGGCTCTATCTGAACAAAAAATAAAAAAATGTCCTCAGGTGAGGATAAAAAATAATAAAATAAAATAAAATAAAATAAAACAAAATAAAATAAAATAAAACAAAGACGAGCTCTGGTCCTGGCCAGTTTGACTCAGCGGTTAGAGCATCGACCTATGGACCAGAGAGTCCCGGGTTTGGTTCCCGCTAAGGGCACGTACCTCGGTTGCAGTTTGTCCCTGCTCCAGTTGGGGCCATGTGGGTGGTAACCACTCTATGTGTCTCTCTCACATGGATGTTTCTCTCTGTCTCTTTCCCTCTCTCTCCCTCCCACTGTATCTGAAGATAAATGCAAAAATGTCCTCAAGTATGGATAAAAAAAAAATAATAATAAAATAAAGACAAGCTCTGCACCTGGCTGGTGTGGCTCAGTGGTTGAGCATCAACCCATGCACCAAGAGGTCACCAGTTTGATTTCCAGTCAGGGCACATGCCCAGGTTGTGGGCCAAATCCCCAGTAGGGGGCTTGCAGGAGGTGGCCAATCGATGTTCTCTCTCATCGATGTTTCTCTCTCTCTCTCCCTCTCCCTTCTTCTCTCTCTAAACAATAAAAAAATAATAATAATAATAAAGACAAGCTCTGCCAGTTGACAACTGTGTGACCTTAGACACATTATTTAAGCTCTATGCCTCAAAAGTCCTCTTTATTTTTATTATTATTTTTTATCCTCACCCGAGGACATTTTTGCATTTATCTTCAGATAGAGTGGGAGGGAGGGAGAGGGGAAGAGAGAGAGAGAAACATTGATGTGAGACAGCCACATTGACTGGTTGCCATCCACATGACCCCAACTGGGGCAGGGACAAACTGCAACCGAGGTATGTGCCCTTAGCGGAAACTGAACCCAGGACTCTCTGGTCCGTGGGCCAATGCTCTAACCGCTGAGCCAAAACAGCCAGGGCAAAAGTGCTCATCTTTAAAATGTACATAACAATAGCACCTACCTCATTAAGAAGATTCAGGGAGGTGATGCATGTCAAGTGCTTGGCACACACTAGGTGCTTTAGAAATATTGTAGATTGCCTGGCTGGTGTAGCTCGGTGGATTGAGCACCGTCTCATGCACTGAGAGGTCCCAGTTCTATTACCGGTCAGGGCACATGCCTGGGTTGTGGGCTCAATCCCCAGTAGGGGTGTGCAGGAGGCAGCCAATCGATGTATCTCTCTCACATCGATGTTTCTCTCTCTCCCTTCCTCTCGCTCTAAAAAAAAATCAATAAAAACATTTTAAAAAAAGAAATGTAGATAGTTATAGCTAAGAAAACAGACTGAGAGGGGAAGGGAAATGTTCTCATCCTAAGCTGTACCCACTGCAGTCATCTAGAATAAATACAGGTAAAATGCTACCCTTCATTTCTCGATGGAGATCTGGCTGTGGAAGTAATTGAGAGAAACTGACCTTGGTGTCCCCTAGACTCAAGGTCTTTGTCTTCTAAGTCAGCTCCAGGTGGTAGAGTCCTGGCTTAAGGTACCAGAGACTTGGCCTACTAAAGGCACTCCTCCTCCTTCACTAATTTTGGGTGGGTTACTCCTCCTTTCTGGGCCTCAGCTTCTTCTATAAAATGAAATTTTTAAAACTGAATGATGGGGGATGCCTCTTCTTCCATGCTCAGAGATCTGAATCTTCCTCAAATCCCTGATAAAGTATGAGTAACATTAGATTATGTAAAAATACTTGAGTCCAAGATTCAGAGGACCTGTACTCCTGAAACTGTATGTGAAATGTGTGTGTGATGTTTGTGCAAACATGTGTGAAAACTGACATCTGAGCATTTTTCTGGGAATGGTTCTTTAGCTTTGGAAAACAGGTCTGTGATCCCAAAAGATTACGCACCAGCCTTATTTAGGCCTCATCACCTTTAACCTGGACTAGAGCAACAGTCTCCAAACTGGTCTCCCCACTATTTTATCTTTCCCTTCAATCTACCCTCCACCCACCACACAGGGTATCCTTCTAAAGTGTAATGCTGACTCTGTCATTCCCCTGCTTAAATCTTTCCGTTGGCTCCAGTTGCCTAAATTCCTTGCATGGTATTTAAAGTCCATCATAATCTTATCCAGCCTTCTCCCCATACTTATATCCTGTCACACCCTAATTCGTTTTCTTACTTCTCAGCTCCTTCATGTATCCTCTGCCCTGGCCACAAAGAACATTTTACTGCTTCCTGAGTGCGTCATGCTCTTTCACATCTCTCTTCCTTTGCATGGGTTTCCGTGCACTCCATCAAGCAAACCCCTATGTGGGCTTAAAAATCCAATTCAGGCATAACCCCTCTGTGATGTCTTTCTAACCCAACCCCCAAATTAGGTGCACCCTTCTATGCTCCCACTCCTTTATCATAATGTTTATTCCACTATGTTGTAATTGTGTTTAAGTGTCTATGTCCCCAACTAGATACGAAGTTCTTCCAGGAGAGAAACCAAATTTCCAAATGACCTACCTGTTAATCCCCAGTACCCAGCCCAGGGCCTGGAACCACGTATGTACCGGTAAAAACTATGTTAAAAAAAAACTATGTAAAATAATCAGTAAAGTGGGGGCGGGATCGGGAGGAGGGTGTCAATGGGGGAAAAAGAAGAAACATCTGTAACAAAAATAAATTAATAAAAAATAAATAAAAATCAGTAAAGTAGTAAGCCATGAGTGAACAAGCCAAGGAGGAAGAATAGATACACCTGAACAGGTCCGTCCGGGCCCCGCCCCGCCCAGACTGAACTACATTTCCCAGAAGGCCCTGCGGCATGGACATGCGCACCGGAGAGCAAGGAAGCTGCGACGCGGAGTTTCACTCTGGCTGTCTCCTCAGAGTCGGAGGAGTAGCCGGAGTTGTGCCGAGCCAGAGCTGCTGCCGGTGGACGGCGGTGCCCTCTTCTTGCACCCTCACCCTCCTCAGCCTTGGTGAGAGAAGGCGGTCAGGCCATTTGCTGGTCGCCAGGGCTGGGGTCCCTAGGGGGAGACTAAACTGTGCTGGGACCGGAAGGGGGCGGGCGTGGAAGTGAAGGAGGGCTGGGCCGGGCCGGCGAAGAGTCCCGGGACGAGGTCCGCAGGGGGATTGGGAGGACTGGTTTCTAGACTGCAGGTCCGGGAGGTTAGAGTTGGGGGAATTGGGAGGCGCTGGGAGCTTAGACAGGGTGGTTGAGAGGGTAAATGCCGGGGTGGAAGCCAAAGGGCTAGCAGGTGGAGCGGCGCAGACCCTGGGAGTTTGGGTCGGTCGGTCGGAGTGAACTCCTTCCCACTGGAGGAGGCGGTGGTGATATTGCCACCGGACTACCATTTAGGGTGTGGGTTCTGCTGGGGTCTGCCTCCAAGTGAACGACTCACTGGAGCGGAGGCTGTAATTTAGAGGACTTTGCTTCTTAACTCTGCTTCCCTGTCCTAAATGGAGTCCGCCTTCTAGGAAGCTCCTGTTTCCAGGGGCCCTGGGTTAATTTTGCGGGGTTCATAATGTATGCTGAAGAGAATTTAGAAGACTTTCTGGAGCTACCCTTTCATCCCGCCTTTCTCAGCCAGCTACTGGTTCCACTTTCCTAAGTGCCAGTAGCAGTGGAAATAGCGTGTGCGCAGACGCTTGCATCCTCTAGACACTCAAAATATTTCTTCCTGCCATCCCAGCTCCTCTAGAGTTCTAGAAGTTCTGGTAGCCAAAATTAGTCTTTAACGTAAACCATCGGAGTAACTATAACTAGGCCTCTTGTTAATTGCTGTGTGACTTTGGCCAAACTTTTATCCTCTCTGGTGTGTTGATTCCCTGGATGCCTACACTGCAGACTGGCTTATTAAGTGATTTGGGGCTTTTCTATGAAAAAGTTCAGGTTTTGTTTTTGTTGTTTTTTACTATTCCCTTGATTATTTGAGTGGGCCCAGGAAGACTACTGTACTGTCTGCTCTGCCTAGGGTGTTGGAAAATAAATCTGGTGGTTTCCAGTCTCTAGTCACAGCACGTGGACCCAACATCTGTGTATTCATTTTCACTAACTGCTGTTTCTCAATTTAAAACCTGATCATCTTCTTCGTTGTTGGCAAAGATGCCTTGAAATTTGTGTCGCTGAGTCAGCAAGCCTTTCAGATTTGCCTGTTTTTTGTTGTTTGCGTTTTGTTCCCATCAAGATGGGAACTTGAACAAGTCATTCCTCCTAAGGATCTGGTGTCTCCATCAAGAAGGGACAGTTTGTGCCAGCTCTCCAGAGAGAAAAGGTGAGAGCTATGGGGACTTTATATTGCTGCCTTCTTAATCTGGTTTTCAGTACAGAAGGTGGGGACTGGGGAGTGTAGAATTTGAGGTCTCCAGGATGAAAGTGAGCCCTGGGAATAGATTGTTGATTGCCAACTCTCAAATAAATTTGAGTGGCTTCTTGCCAATGACTTCTCCTGTTTAAACAGTATCCAAGGGTGCTTTCTACATGGTTTGCACTTAAAAAAATTTTTTTTCTCTATTGATTTTTAGAGAAAGGGAGAGGGAGAGAGAGATAGAAACATCGTTGAGAGAGAATATCGATTGTCCACCTCTCGCATGCCCCCTACTGAGGATTGGGCTCACAACCTGGGTATGAACTTTGACTGGGAATCAAACCAGAGACCTCTTGGGTCAACGCTCAACCACTGAGCCACTCCGGCTGGGCATGGTTTGCACTTTAAGACATGCTTTATGTGATGAAGGACGAAAGTCATGATTTCTGCATTTGGACTGGAAATTTTTTTTATCCTCACCTGAGGACATATTTTGCATTTGTCTTGAGATAGAGCAGGTGGGGGGGGGAGTAACATCAATGTGAGAGAGACACATCGACTGGCTACCACCCACACGACCCCAACTGGGGCCGGGAACAAACTGCAACCGAAGTACATGCCCATAGCGGGAACTGAACCCGGGACTCTCTGGTCCGTGGGCTGACGCTCTAACCGCTGAGCCAAACTGGCCAGGGCTGAACTGGAAATTTTTATTTCTTTTGTTGCATGAACTTTTTCTGGGTGCCTCCTTTGTGTCAGGCCCCATGCTCAGTGCTGGGGGTACAGTGAGGAGCAACAAGAGCTCTGTCTTCTGGGACTTGGTTGTTTGTTAGAAAAGACAGACAAACCATAGACCCTGACAAGGTATTGTAAGTGTGGTATGCATTGAGGAGGAGGGACTCACAGGACAGAGCCACCACCACTCTAGGAAGGGGTAGGAGGGAAAGTGAGAAAGTCAGGAAGGCTTTTGGAAGATGATAGCCAAGGTGAGTTGTGAAGGAGTAGGACTTAGAAAGTAGGGGCAGGAGCCTGGCAGAGCAGTTGGCATATGCAGTCATGAAGCTACATGGCATGCTGGGCCACTGTAAGTAGCTAGCTTAGTGGCTGGAGCAACAAGGGATGAGTGAGGGGTAGAGGATGCTGGAAAGGTGGGCAGAGGGCTGACTGTGGAGGCTTTTGTGGGCCATTCCAGAGCTCTGGGGAACAGAAGGATTTTAGCAGGAGAATTCTGTGGGGGAAGGAATTTAAAATTTATCTACTGGCTGGAAAGTGTGGATTGGATTTGGTTGGACTATTGTCTTTGTGACTGTTTCTTTACACCATGCCAGCTTCTGGTGGGGGGGGGGGGGGTGAACGTGAGATTTTGCCCTCAGCTTCTTTTTTTTTTAAATAATTTTTCTTTATTGATTTTAGAGAGAGAGGACAGGAGAGGGAGAGAGACAGGGACATTGATGAGAGAGAACATCTATTGGCCACCTCCTGCATGCACCCCACTGGGGATCAGGCCCACAGCCTGGGCATGTGCCCTGACGGAATCGAATCAGTGACCTCTTAGTGCATGGATCGATGATCAACCACTGAGCCACACCAGTCGATCATGCTCTCAGCTTTTTTTTTTTATCCTCACCCGAGGACATTTTTGCATTTATCTTCAGATAGAGTGGGAAGGAGAGAGGGAGGAAGAGAGAGAAACATTGATGTGAGAGAGACACATCAAGTGGTCCTCACCCACACAACCCCAACCGGGGTGGAGACAAACTGCAACCGAGGTATATGCCCTTAGCGGGAACCGAACGTGGGACTCTCCGGTTCGCAGGCCGACGCTTTAACAGCTGAGCCTAACCGGCCAGAGCGTTCTCAGCTTCTTGATGGACACAGGGAATTTTAAAGGACAGACAGAATGCTGTGGAAGTTGATAAAAGGGTGTTCTCTTTCATTTGGGCACACAAAGGCATCATGGAGATGCTATTTAAATGGGGCCTTAATTGTATGGGTCAGGTGAGGGTTAGTAGCCAGGTGAATGGGAATCTGCATTGAGCTTAGGCCTAGAGGTGGGAAAATGGGATTTATATGTGGTAGTGGATCAACACTAAACTCTTTGGGAGGGGTTGGCGAGAGGTAGGTATAGATGAAAGAAGGTATTGAAGGGAAGTGCACTGGCAAGTACTGTAGATAGGGAGGGGCCAGATTATGAAGAGCTTCAATGTCAACCCAAGGAACTTGAATTTATTCCAAAAATCCTGTGGAGGTGTGGAAGAAACAGGATCAGAACTATACTCCAGGAAGTTCAATCTTGCACCTGTCTCTGAGGTGGACTAGAAGGAGAGACGAGAGTTGGGGAAGTCAGTTGGAGAGAATACTTATAAAGGTGAGAGGCATAAAGATCCCAACTAGATGCTGGCAGTGGGTGCAGAGGAGTTGAGGAGGGAGGAGAGAGCAAGCCATGGCAACTGCAGGGCAGTCGGGGAGAAGGTTAAGGAGGAGCAAGACTCCCAGGTTTTTCTTCTAACTGCCTGAGTCAGAGTGGAGCCAGGGAATCCAGGAGGAAAAGCAGAATTGGGAAGAAGGAAGGTGAGTTTGGCTTCAGGCATGTAGAAGGTACTAAGGTGCCAATAGGAAGGGGACTATGGGCTAGGGAGAAAAGTTCCTGATTCATTCTATATAGGACTACAGAAATTGTGTGTCAGGGAGGGCTGTGCTTGGCACGTGGAGTACGAAGATAAATTAAATGGTCTCTTTTGTGTGTGTTTTAATTTTTACCTCAGGCTTGCTTACCTTTATTTATTAAGTTGTTTTTCATGAATGTAGTAAGCTTCTGTATTCCAGTTACTCAAAACAAAAGCTTGGGCCTTGAAACAAAAGTATGCATCTAATCTTGCCATCTTTCTTCACATTTTCATCCTGAGATAACCATTATCTCCTCGGTTTCATTTTAATATAGTTTTAGTGTACCTATATATTTCTAAGGGAAGTAAAAAAAATACATAATTTTGCTAAGATTCATTCATACTATTGCATGTCATGTGGTTCATTTGTTTTTACTACTAATGTGCTATGGTGTGAACACACCAGTTTATGCATCTGATCTTATTGATGGGCACTTAGTTGTTTCCAGGTTTTAGCTGTTGCAAGTGTGCTGCTCTGAACATTTTCATACACAGTTCCTGTTGAACATGTGCAAGAGGTTTTCTTGGGTATAAATTTAGGGGTACTATTTTGCAGGGTCATCAGGTAAATAAATGTTCAACTTTTGTTGATACTGCCAGACTGTTTTCTGAAGTGGTTGTACCAGTTACATTCCACCAGGAGCAGTGTACGTGACTTCTGATTGCTCCACATTTTTGTCAGCACTCGATATAGGCAGACTTTTCTTTTTTTGCTGATTGAATGGGTATAAAATGGGATCTTTGGGACCTTGATTTCTATGTCCCTGAGCGCTGACATTGAACATCGTTTCATAAGTTTATTGGCATATGTGTTTCTCGTGAAATATTTGTTTATGTCTCTTGCCAATTTTTCTGTGGGGCTTTTGGTGCCTTATTATTATTATTATTGATTTTTTTAGGAGTTCTTTATATATTGACTTTAATTGTTAATACATATTGCAAATACTTTCTTCCAGCTTATAACTTGTCTCCCTACTTTCTTTAAGGCATATTTTGTTGAACGAC